AAAAAAATAAAAAATAAAATTTATATAGCCTATTCTGACCTATATTGTAAGATCTTATTGAACTTCAATTAACTTTTAATTATTTTTTGACGCATAGACCTAAATGAATTTATTTATACCTTCAAATAACTTATAATTCGATCCAAAAACAAAAATATTAACTCAAAGTTCAAAAACTTTCTAATATCATATCTACTTTATCAGATAATTTTAAAAATAATAAAAAATATCTCAATAAAACTTTTAGATTAACATGCTATTGACATGCTATTGACTATTTTAAATATAAGAATGAATTAATATTTATATAAATTTTTTCTATACCATCCGAATTCAACTACTTTTTTTCTCTCCTCTCTCAATCCAAAAAATACCAAATAAAAATAATAAACATTTGAATCAAAATTATATTTTAAAAATCAATTGAGACAAAAAATCTATCACTTAGAAAGCAAAAGAATATAAGTTAGTCTTTTTTACTTTAATCCCCAATCTTTAGATCTTGTGCCCTTATCAACAAATTTGAAGCAATTAGCTTTTATGATCAAAATAAATAAATCATTGTGAAATGCGAGGGCCTATCATAAAAGCAACCAGTCAATTGAAAACTTCAATCAAGCATCATTACACTGTTCATCTTTGTAGCCAAAGACTATACCTTCAGATTTTACAACAATTTTTTTGAGTGCAAACCAGAAGAAACCATGTGAAAGTTCTTTCTAGTTTATAACTATTCAGTTTTGGACATGAAACAACCAAACATGGCAGCGCTGCTTCATCCACAAGCACTTCCTTGGTGAAAGAATAAAAAATTGAGCCCTCGTATTTCTTATTGAATCGAAAATGGCTATCTGCATACATTTGATTCAATGACATCCTTACATGGCTTTGTGATTGAAAAATCTGCTTGTGAAGGGACATGCAGCTTCAAAAACTACAGGTGTGATTGGTGCGTTGTCAGCTTTCTACAATTCTCTCATAAAAGAGCAGGCTAGCTTCTGCAGCTAGAACATCCTCCTCTGAAACTCTATACACATTGGAGTCTGAAATACAAAACCAGTGCATAAGGGAAGGTTCGCAATTTTCATCAGGATGTTCCTCATGCGATTCTGATTGCAAACTTCTGTAAACAGTATAATGCCCACCACAAGCTCTTCCAAAATGCTCCACAACAGAAACAAGACGATATACCTGAGGTTCTGAAGGGACTAATTCACAAGCTGCACTGACCTGTCAAAAATACCAAACACATGGAAGAACAATCTCAGAGGTCATCACATACATCACATTTATTGAGTTAAGAACAATCTCAGAGGTCATCACATACATCGACCCAAAAGAGCACTAGGCCAGCACCACTGAAAGATCCAAGACAGCAATCTCATCCCGCTATAATGGTTAAAATGAATTCAGCATATTGAGTCTCAATATAAGGTAGACGGAAATGACAATGATGACAGTTTGTTTATCCTTTTTCTAGGTAGTGTATCCCTTTTCTAGGTAAATAACAAACTCATTAGTTTCAGGAGATCAAAAGCAAGAGCCATGATATAATGAGTTCCTTAAACAAGGTGGCATCTATCAAAGAACCATTAGACCTGAAAGCTTAACTGGTTATCTAAGATCAAACAAATAAAAAAAAGGGTAGGGTAGGATTTAAACTCATGATTGCTTGATCGAATAGACTATAATACCATGTCAAAGGTCATCTCAACCTAAAAGCTTAAATTGTTAGGTAATGAAATGGTTTTATGTTAATTTAATTCTGTGACAGCATAAAAAAGAATGCATACGATTTTTAAAACTGCCCTTTCATTTCTCTTTATGAGAGCAAAACTTCACATTCGGCTCTATTTAGTAGTTACATCTTACAACTACGAAACATATGCTATTCCACTTAATAGATTGAACCCATAACTAAGACGTTATAGTTAAACTTGGGACATATTGTCTCCTTTACATTTCAGTGACAAACTAAGATTCAAATTTGTTGGCAAACAAACTACATGTACACAAGAGCATGAGTGCCAAAGCATGTTTCTCAACTCCTTTCTTGACTCAGGCCTTATGCCCCGTACACTTCCTAAATATGTGTCTTCAATTATTCAAGAGTTTGTGAGCATATGGAGGCCAATTTGGCCTTGGACTAAACAATGTTGTAGCCCACCCCTTTCCCAATCACACCCTCATCAAAGCTTCCAGCTAGATTTAATCCCAAATGGCTTGGCACAAGGTGAAGTTACTTGAGCAACTAAGCTAGCTAATGCCACCAAGTTCATAAACTACTAAAGCGTTAACAATATTAACTTTAAAAAACATACGACGATACATTCATATCAGCAATCATTCAACATACCTTTTCATTAGCTTGCGAACTAAAGATATCCGTGGTTTGTGGTATCTTGGATTGTCCCAGGAAAGCTTCTGTATGTGCGGGGGATCTAAATGCATTTGCAGATAATAATTTTGAAGCATTTCTTTCATAAATGCTGTTCAGCATTCTGGTGTCATATTGCACATCAAAATGGTTTAGATGAGAGCTTGGTTTTTGACATTGCATCTCTTTCATCATGAATGGAAGCAGGTTCAAAGTTAATGGAAAGCTGATGTGGCCCTGCAAGCATCAATAAAGCAGTCTTCTATGATGTTGAATCCTCATTCTATTAATTCTAACATGATAATACTAAGAAAGTGTCCTTGGAACAAACTGTGAAGAAATCTGGGCATGCGATATCACCAAGCTAAAAATTTGAATACCTGAAGTTTGACTACTTCTCCGAAAAAATTTATAGAAGCACGTTGTAATTGAATGCAAAGAATCTGTAACAAAGTAGAAGTGATGAGCGAGACAACATATTTCACTGCATTTCTACAGCCAAGTGAGATCAAATGCTTCTTCTTTTTTTTTTTATATGTTCCAATTTTTATTCGAAAAAGGTGGGGCTCAAACCTAAGACCTCTCCTCTCTTATGCAAGAGCACCACTCAGCTAAAGCTCTGTATTTTTATTTTTATTTTTGGATAATGCTCAGATTTTAATCAAGCAAGTCATCAAGAGACTGACCACAAAAGAAAAGGGTACAAATTAAAGGAAAAGAAAATGTAAAAGCACAACAAAGAAGAGTGAAGGCTCCTCTTATTCCTATAACAAACATGGAAATGACATCAGCAAAGCCTTGAGAAGCAACATATACAACATAGGATCCCCACAAACTCAGACCAATGATGAACCACAAACAGGCATAACAACAACCCCAAAAAGTCACCACCTCTACAGTCTAGCACCAAGAAATTAATGAATCAGAAGCTACGGAGCCCTCCCCCTTCCATTGTTAGTCCAAGTAAAATCCCCTTAGACAAATAAAATAGCAGGAACCAAGTACAAGAGAATAAAGGCTTGAAGAAATTAAAAAAATCTAGAAGTGAGGCGGTCATTTTTATCCTAAGACTACATTATCCATGCAAGAAATGAAAGGCATCTGTAATGCATGGCAGATTCAGACTGCTCGTAACCATAAACCACAGCTGCTTTTCCTGATATCTGCCATTTTTTATCCCACTCTCAACCACCAACAAAATCCATCCTGCATTATTTGATAACATTCAAATCCAGTTGCTCCAGATGATTTCATTATTTGATTAATGAACACCCAGTAGCTAGACTTCATTACTGATGAAGAGATCCCAAAGCTTTATGCCAACTTTCCAGATGGTGATGCCATGAAAATTCTTATATAGTTTGAATTCTATTATAACAAATAAGAAGTTTGGAATCAAAACTTCATACCTTGGGACTACGAGCAATGCTTAGTTGCTTTAAAGTGCGAGAAAAATTATTTGACCATGGTAGATTTTCTAGATGAACAAGGAGATGGCAGGTACACGAGTCTTGCTCATTACAACTCTCAAGTCTTTTTATCTCCGTCTGTAACACAAAGTCATGAATAACCATTAAGTAGTGCATATACAGCACTCAATATCTTCCTAATAATAGGTCATAAAAATTGAAAAGCCCATATCAGACCAACATAGAAGGAAGAGAAAAGGCAAAAAAGCCAAAAGAAAAAAAGAAAAGGATGAGTTCAGGGTGTGCAGGAGAAGAGAGAGATGCATAAAAGGGGTCTGCTGGACATGCACAAGTCTGTTCCTTTTCTCCAGTAGGCTAGCCATTAACAACTGAGGATAGACAGATTATGTTAATGACAGGATTACCTCTGTTGCTCCCCTTAAAGTTAAATACTTTATTGCAGCAATGTGCCAACAGTGGCTGCAGCTGTAATTCTCAACTTGCTCAGAAACAGTGAACTGCCTGAGGCAATCCTCCAATCTACACCCAACCCTCTAGTATCATGTTCAAAAAAATGTAAGGCAGGCATGTGGTTAGTTAGAAAAACCACAAAAACAAAATTCAAGTGGTAAAATTAAATAAATAAAACTAAATGTTGAAACCTTTGTTTAACATACAATGGTGGCACCACTTTCAAGCACAGGCAAAAGAGGCAAGCTATGAAAAAACTGAAAATTCAATGAAATCTGCAAATAGAAATAAAAAATGAAAAGGAGATAAAATATGAGGAGAAAATCACAAGATTCAACGCAATTGAGAATTAAAATGCAAGAACTTCAAATGTTGGAACCTCGAGTATATACAAAAGCACTCACCAAATCATTATTAAATTTCATATGTTCCAAACATCATGTATCAAGCTATACAAAATAAAAAATATAAATAAAAAAAGGGCAGAAAACACTGACATTTTGCAAGGAGAAAGTGTTTTATGAGGAGTACAAACCTCAGTCGAACAACTTTGACATGTTAAAATGCTACTAAGAATTCCATCAAATGGTCCAAGGAAGTGCTGCTGCCACCTTTCTTGCTCGCTTTGGATCTCAATCCTATTTGGAGTCAGAATTCGACAGTTAGGGGATGCAAATGCATCTGCCAGAGAATGATGTTTTGGAAGATAAGAATCAGAAAATTCGTCCCTTAAAGAGGAGAGTAGATGAAGGAATGCTTCTTCGGCATCCTACACACACACAAAAGATGAATCAGTCACTTGAACATCAATATTTGTTCAAATAATTACGAAGATACATCCGCACCTGTTGGCTTGTCAGATTAAAATTTTGAATATAATGAGCCATTGCAAGCATCACCTTTCTTGGACTCAATACAATTCTCTCTCTGCTAATCACAGACAGTTCTGCAGAAATGGACACTAGTCAGTCGGGTTTCAATAATCATGTCAACTATTTGTAATTGTATGGTTTCCTGAAAATTCTGAAAGCTAAATAGTAGTTCAATGTCTGCGACTCCTAGTAGTTTTCTTGAGGAGCCAGTCCAACAATTTATCAGACATGATATTAGAACTCTGAAAATAATCTTTTTTACTTCAATAACATCCATGAGAGCATTGTATCCATTAAAGTCTGATATTCGTTGTGTAAAAAGAAATGTAGGAGATACAAAAATAGAAGTGAATATAAGCATGCATAATTCTGCAATCCTTCAACTGGAGCAACAACAATATTTAAATTATTTTGGAAAACTCAAAGGCCATTCATATAACTTGTAATATTTGTATTCATTTACCTTCTAATAAAGCAGCCAAAGCCACCGTAAGCTGCAAGCTCTCATTCCATTCCTCACCAGCAAATGATTCCCATTCTTCTATAACCTTTTGAAGAAAAGATTGGAAATTTGAACAGCTACCCAAAGCCTGAAAATCAAGAATTCAAGAATAAGAACATCTTCAGGGGAAAAGATAAAATAAAAGGACAATTTTTTTTGGCTTTTATCCCTCATTTTTAACTTCAAGAAGATAATTATATTGGAGAGCCAAATTGGCGTTTCTAAATTGAATAGAGCTCAAAATTTGTTTAATATATTTTGATGTAAATTTTTTTTTTTATATAGTTGTATTAGTTAATTATTATTAATAAATAATTATATCAATATCAAATACATTAAAATACAAATATTTTTTTAAATGATTTTTTTCCATTGAAATGCATATATGAAAAAAAATACTATATTTATATTATTCAAAAAACTATATTACTAATTTGACTCTTCTAAATAATTTTTTCAAGATACTACAAAACAGCTTCTTGATTCACTATAACAATTCAGGGCAAAAAAAAGTAAAAAAGAAAACAGCCCGGTTGGTAGAAAGTGATGATACCTGTAAGATAACATTCAAAAAGCAATTATTGCCCAGATTTTGCAAGCCAGGAAGCAAGAAAAGCTTCTTTGGACGATTATTATTCTCTCTCTGGTTTAATACCAGCCAAGAAGGCAAGGCACTTAGTTTTAGATTCCAAGATTTGGGATCTTTTATTAGAGCCAACACCAAACCAGCAACCCCCAAAACAGCTGCAAGCCCAGAGGCTGAAACCCAATTCCTCTTCATGTGAGATAAAAGATTGTCTATTATGAGTATTGCCGCCTTCCTTCAGTTACTCCACAAGGATTACTCCCGCTGGGACTCCCAGTAGTAGGGGTATTTGTTCCTCCTAACTTTTTCTTTTTTTAACTGTTCTATTTTCGATTTCTAAATGTTTATAAGGAGAGGTTGATCACCGCGAAACCTAGAAAACAATCTTATTTACAAGGTTTCAAGTTTAACATCTCTCAGGTATTTTT